TGCTTTTGCACTTGGAAGACTGGATGCTTTGCCATCTGCGGTACTTAAGGGTCGGTTCCAAAAGATCCCGCCTGAGAAACGTCTTTGCCCCTGCGGAGATGGTAGCATCGAAACAGCGGTGCACGTCCTCCTGTCTTGCACTCTCTACAAAGACCTGCGGAACGAGATCATCACCCCACTCGTACTAGCCATCCCAGGGCGCTCAACCACTGCCACAATGTCCTTTCTTCTATCAGATCAAAATGAGCAGATAACAGCAAAGGTTGCTAGGTGCAGAGCAGGGGCAATCAGAATAAGGGCCACTAACTGATTGCTGATTCAGGACTTTAATTTGTGCTCTTATATCAAATTTCCTTTTCCGCATATACTGTAATGTTTTACTGTTGCTATGGCCATGCCTAATGAGAATAAAGTTTTTATATATATATATATATATATATATATATATATATATATATATATAAATATATCAGTCCCAAGCTCCTGCCCCCCCCTTTCACCAAGAGCATTACAAAATCTGGATAACCAGCTAACAAAAATAATTACAGCTTGAAGCTTTTCGCAGTTCAGTGCTCTACCGTATCCAAGCTAAATTGGCTGCATTTTTAATTGTTGTAGCTTTTCATAGGCTGTGTTCCGTCCATACTCACTGTACAGTGGTACCTCTGGTTACGTACTTAATTCGTTCCAGAGGTCCGTTCTTAACCTGAAACAGTTCTTAACCTGAAGCACCACTTTAGTTCATGGGGCCTGCCGCTGCGCCGCTGCCACGCGATTTCTGTTCTCATCCTGAAGCAAAGTTCTTAACCTGAGGTACTATTTCTAGGTTAGCGGAGTCTGTAACCTGAAGCGTATGTAACCTGAAGCGTATGTAACCCAAGGTACCACTGTACTGGAAAAGTTCCACCCAAAAATAAAGTTCGAAGAAGCAATCCTTTGCTAACAATTACAATCTGGGTACTGACGTCTAAACTTTCACAAACTGTTCTGCGCTTTGCGACACAAAAAATTGCCACATCCTTGAATATGCAACAGGAAGATTTGAATGTAACTCACAAAGCGTCAGTGAACTTCATTCTTTATTCAAGGAAATAAAACAGCAACTCTTCCCAGTAAATCTCAGCCTAATGAAACAGTTGTGAGGACTGAAGGTCTCTGCCTTTCCATTGCTCCCTAAAGCTCCTCCTTCTCCAGGGTTTCCCCCAAGCAATCTGAGACTATGCTAGCATGTTTGTCTTTGCTTCTCCCTCTTCATACCTCTGATGGTACTGGGAGAGCTGGCCACAGCGGGGGGACGGGACCCCATGGCATCTTCCGCAGCCTACATCTTCTCAGCCTTTTGGCCTCCCTCCTCTCCAGCTTCGACTTCTGTCTCTGGTCCTTGACTGCTCTCTGTCACAGCCTCTTCCTGCTCAGTAAGCCCTGTTACGCTTTCAGCTTCCAACCCCCCCCCCCAGTCATCTTCCTCTTCTTCCTCTTATGACATTGTTGTCCCACCAACACTCCCCGGGCTCTGAGCCTTCTTCCCTTGGGGGGGTTCCCCAGCTGGTGCCCCCCACCCTTCTTCTGCATCCAAGCAGTCCATAACATCACCTTCCTTAATGGGTCATACAAACTGCTAATTTCAATACTGCTTTTCATAGGGTAAGGGGCACTGGGGGTGAGTTTACGGAACCAAGGGGGTGGCGGCATCAAAACTTTTGGGAGCCGCTGCCCTAAGCTGTTCAGCCTGTTTGGCAACCAGAGGCATTCAGATTTTGTTTCACCCTTGAACCGATAACCTGTGGAATTTGGACATTTCTCAAGTCAAACCAGGGCTGGACAAAACTGTCTTTCCGAACACAAGGCACCTGCTGCCTACCTTCGTTACGAGAACCGGGTGGACGGAACTGGAATGATTCACAGCAGCACAACCGCAAATGCTCAGAAGAGATTACAAGAGGCAGCTCAGGACAGAAAAGGTTTCTGTTGCACAAGGCTCCTTCGGAAATTACATATGACTCAGCTTCCCTCTGCCCATACTTATTCGGGGGTTGGTTTTCCAAGGAGCAGGACCCTTCCCTCAGCCCACAAACGGGGGGAAACCGACAAGAATTACAATGGGGAGGAGGCTGCGCTTCAAGAAAACGGGTTCCTTCAATGCTCAGCTTCTGCTCATCAGTGTGAATTTCTAAGGCTCAACCTTGGGCTAAAGGCCAGAGCAGCAGCGTTCGAAATTTGGCCAGGCGCATTTTGCACCTGGCTATGAGACGCTTGCAACCACGTGAGGATGCCCGAGTGCAAGGATGGTGCCTGACGTCTCTCCACCATCTGGAGGTGCATGCCTGGGGATCCTTGGATCTGGACCATTTTCATACACTGATTCCTCATCCTGTAGAATTCCATCAGTTCTGTTTTATCTGCACAATCAGAACGAATTTCAGGAATTGAAAAGGCCCCAAAATGGCACCTGGACATTCAGTTTTGGCGACTGTAACCCTGGTTTCAGGAGCCATTTGGCACCTAGGTTATATATCCGAGTTTCTAACACTGCTTTAGCACATGGGTAGGTTTGCACACAGAAGGTCCCAGATGTGATCACTGGACACCTATGGAAGAAGAGTGTGCTGGATCAGGCCAATGGCCCATCTAGTTGAGCATCCTGTTCTCACAGTGGCCACGCAGATGCCTGTGGGAAACCCAAGGCAGGATCTGACCGCAAGAGCGACTCTCCCCCCTCCAGCAGCTAGGATTCAGAAACATTGCGGTCTCCAACGGGGGAGGAAGCCCAGGCATCATCATCATCATCTTCATCATCATTTTATTTGTATGCCACCTTTCCACAGTTAAACAATGCTCAAGGAGGCTTACAATATGAAAAGATTTTTATAGTTACAAACATAGCAAAGTAGTCATAAAAATTAATAATAATAATTTTTTATTTATACCCCGCCCTTCCCAGTTCAGAAAACCGGGCTCAGGGCGGCTAACAACAAATTTAAAACACTTAATTAATGCAACAAAAAACAGCATAAAATACAGTATAAAACTTGAATAACAATAAATTCAGAATTCAAAAATCAATTTAGGGGGGAAATCCATCCAATAAACATTAGATGATCACCAGGGCTAGCTGGCTAAATTAGTCCTATTTGGGCCAGCGAGGAGACCAGGGGAGAATTAGCTGTGGGATCCCAGAGCGGGTAATCTTCATAAAAAGGGGAGCGGGAGGGAAGGAAGAGGAATAAAAGATCAGGCTAAGTTCAAGTTGAAAGCCAGGTGGAACACATCAAAAAACTACATAACCAAACCAATTTTCACAAAGATACAAAAAACTAATATCAATAACAGCAAAAACTCCCGACAAAACTTTCCCCCAAAATACCCCAGTCCTTGCTGGGCAGCAGCAGCAGCAATTCTTATGAAGCCTGCCAGGCCCCGCCCGGGGCCAGGTGGAGAGAGGCAGGAATGGGGCCCCTCAGGCTCCCAGGGGTCAGGCATCCTGGCTAGTAGCCACCAACAGCCCTCTCCTCCATGAATTCATCTCTTTTTAAAGCCATCAGGGTTGGTGGCCATGACTGCCTCCTATGGGCGGGAATTCCACAGGTTAACTCTGCCCATGAATTGCCTTGAAAACACCAGGGCGCCACTGCCAATTGGCAGTATGGAGTCAGACGGATCAACGGTCCAATTAGATTGGTCAATGTGTACATTTCATACATTTAAAGCAGCTCCCTGCCCCCAAATCCTGGGAACTGTAGCTTACCCCTCCTAGAACTACAAATCCCAGCACCCTGAACAAACTACAGTTCCCGTGGTTCTTTTCTTGCTTTAAAGACGTGGTGCGTGGGCAGCCTTGGTTTCTAAACAGGCAGCTTCCTTTGCTCGGAAACATGAAGAACGTTAGCCAAGAGGAGAGTCGCCCTTTGAGAAGAAGCCAAGTGCACTCTATGTACCACATATTGCAACGCCACATGGGGCAAGGGCTGCCAAATCCCCAGAGCTATTGCGTATCAGAGCTTAGTTTCACAATCTCCCCCTTCCCCTTGTTGCTGGAGAGAAAGCAGAGCGTCTACCAAGAGAGTGAGTGAGAGAGAGGAGTTCACCTGCCAATCTTCGTTTCACCCCCCCCCCCTCCAACTCCTGCTGAGGATCCCAACGCCTGTCCAAAGGAAAGCCACTGAAAGGTTGAGGTCAGGTTTTCATTATTCCCTTTAATGAACTCCTCGCTGCCCCCAGAAGCTACTCGCAAACCGCCTGGCCATCTGGCATCCATGACCAGATGCAAAATTGGAGGAGAGGCTAGCAGCCTAGACCTAGACACACACACACACACACACACACACACGACGCCATCTGCCGCTGCTGGGCTTGGGAGGAGCCCCCAAAGTCGCCCCCAAACGCCCTCCTAAGTTGGGAAACAAAACAGAAAAAACCCCAATCACCTCCAGCTGCCTTTGCCAATTTGGGTCCCTCCATGTCTTTTGGGCTAAAACTCCCAGCGGACTCAGTTTGGCAAAGGGGCCCCTTAAACTTCCAGGTGGGTCCCATTCCGCAGAAAGCTAGGAAAGGATCAAGTTTCTCTGCCCCAGCTCTGAAAAACCCGACGGGGGTGCTGCCTCGAAGTACCCAAACGCGGAGTCCAGCCCCGCCCTGGTCCGGGTGCGTGGACTTGTCTTGTCTTCCACATTTAGAGACCCCCTCACCCCCCAACATCCCCCTCCATCAATTTCATCTCTGCAAGCCTCTTCTCCTCCGCGTCCTCCTCACCCCCAAGCCTGGGACTCCTCGACGCGCCTTGAAGCTTCGGCGAAGAAGACTCCCTGACGCAGCTTTTTGCGGCCACTCCCGTCTAGGGGGCTTTGTAGCTGAGGCTGCTCCGACCCACCTGCCCCAAACCCACGGGACCCCCAGGGACAGAACTTGGCAGAAAGCAAACCCAGGAAGATCCCGCCGTTTTGTTAGAGAGTGGACAGAAAGAAACACGCAGCTGCGTTGGCGTCCGCCACGTCTGAACTTACCTGCCCTAGTTGGGTGGAGCTGCTCTGCTGTGTCCGCTGGGCTTGTTGAGCAGTCGAGGAAGCGCCGGGAGGTTTTGGGTGCCTTCGTGGGGGGGGGCGGGGGCGGCGGTCAGCCACACCCGGTGCTGAGACCGCCCCGGCCCGCCCCTTCGTCGGTGGAGAAGGAAAAGCGCACGACTGCCTACCGCTTGCTAGGCTCCGCGCGGGCGCATCGGCTGCCCGCTGCCTTGCGCAGGATGGCAGCGGGGGGGGGGGGGTCCTGCAAAACTTGTCTACTCGGGAGTCAGGTCCGGGGAGAGCTTGCTTCTTTCTCGGATTGGGGCTGGCGGGGTCCTCGAGCAGTCTGCTAGACGGTGGAGGCGCCGTCCCCCCGGGGCTCACTTTGGAGCCTGGCGCGCCCCTCGGACCAGGGCGCGTTGCCTCGGAATTCTGACCCGCTGTGGATTGTTGTTGTTTAGTCGTTTAGTCGTGTCTGACTCTTCGTGACCCCCTGGACCAGAGCACGCCAGGCACTCCTGTCTTCCACTGCCTCCCGCAGTTTGGTCAAACTCATGCTGGTAGCTTCGAGAACACCTTCCAACCATCTCGTCCTCTGCAGTCCCCTTCTCCTTGTGCCCGCTGTGGATTAGCTGAAAATATATCCAAGCATCCGCTCTTGCCAAAGGAAGGGCGCGCAAAGTGAGATGCTGGCGCCCCTGGAACTGTTAAGAGACTTAAATTTTAAGAACACAACCGCGGGATCAGCCCATGAACCCCGATGATTTGTGTGCTGGAAAACTTGCTATAACAACAACAACAACACAGTGGTACCTCGGGTTAAGTACTGGTACTTAATTCGTTCCGGAGGTCCATTCTTAACCTGAAACTGTTCTTAACCTGAAGCACCATTTTAGCTAGTGGGGCCTCCTGCTTCCGCCACGCCGCCAGAGCCCGATTTCTGTTATTATCCTGAAGCAAAGTTCTTAACCCGAGGTACTATTTCTAGGTTAGCGGAGTCTGTAACCTGAAGCGTAGGTAACCCAAGGTACCACTGCAATAATAATAATAATAATAATAATAATAATAATAATAATAATAATAATAATAATAATAATTAATAATAATAATTTATTTATACCCCACCCATCTGGCTGGGCTTCCCCAGCCAGTCTGGGCGGCTTCCAACAAAATATTAAAATACAGTAATGCATCAAACATTAAAAGCTTCCCTAAACAGGGCTGCCTTCAGATGTCTTCTAGAAGTCAGATAGTTGTTCTACTCTTTGACATCTGATGGGAAAGGTGTTCCACAGGGCGGGCGCCACTACCGAGAAGGCCCTCTGCCTGGTTCCCTGTAACTTGGCTTCTCACAGGGAGGGAACCGCCAGAAGGCCCTCGGCGCTGGACCTCAGTGTCCAGGTAGAACAATGGGGGTGGAGACCCTCCTTCAGATATACTGGATCGAGGCAGTTTAGGGCTTTAAAGGTGAGACCAACACTTTGAATTGTCTTTTGAGACAGGTATCTACACTTCTGTTTCTAGCTGTAGCGAATATAACGTTTTAAGTGCATTATACAAATGTGACACTAGATGGCGAAGGTGAGCTTATGGCAAATTCAACATATTTTTCAAAACGCTTTTTTAAAAAAAGGATTTTCACAGTGCTTTTTAAAAAAATATGTGTCTAGATTCCACATGTGTTTGTTGTATTTCTTATGCTGGTCATTTAAAATAAGCCAAGAGATTTTTACTTTTGTGCTTGCCGTTTTCCATAGAATCCAGTGCCGGATTACTGAGTAGGCAAAGTAGGCCTTGGCCTATGTGCCCCACACCTTTCAGCAGCCCTGCAACAATGGATCTAAATTGATTTATTGCAATTGTTGGTTGGTAAAATAAAAAACGTCTTAGGAGATAATTTGTGAGCGTCCCCCTCAAGATTTCAATGGCCTAGGGGCCTCCCCAGGGTTTAATCCAGCACTGATAGAATCATAACATTGTAGAGTTGGAAGGGACCACGAGAGCATCTAGTCCAACCCCTCAACGCAGGAATCTTTTGCTTGAACCCATGACCCTGAGATTGAGTCTTGTTAGCAATTGGGTGTGGATGTATCAGTGGTTAGCCTTGTCTAGGGTACAAAATCACTAATGAATTGGGGGGGGAATGTTTAAATGGAAATTGACAGGTGTCAAAAAGGTTATTTATGTATGCCACTACTGCAGCCCCCCTTTTGATAGCCCAAAAACGAGAAACGAGTGAGGTCCCAACTAAAGAAGAATGGTAACTTAAACTGTTGGAATATGTGCAGCTTGTGGAACTGGAACTAACATATAGAATAAGAGAACAAGAACATATGTTTAAACAAGATTGGAAAATGTTTATTGGCTATATGGGGGGGAATTGTGTACACTTGAAAATGCTGGCAGCATTAAGATAAATTCAACAGTGTAAATAAGTTTTGGTGGATGTAATAATGGAATACTGAATGATTTAGTTTATATAAAATATGCAGGGATTTATGTTATGCAAAATGAACCATGGGAAGAGAAGAAGGGAAGTTTTTGATATTTTAAGGTTGTTTCAATGAATAGTCTAAATTGTAAAACAGAAAATTTAATAAACATTATAAGAAACAAAACAAAATCGCTAAGCACCAGCATTGTGTATATGCAGTGTGTGCTTCGAGAGCACAGGTCTCTGCCTGCAAGGAGCCTACACACCAAACCTTTAAAGCATATGATTTCTCCCTCAAGGAATCCTAGACACTTTGGTACTTTAAAGGCTGCTGGGGTTTGTAATTCTGAGGAGTAAACTACAGGGTCTGGAATTATTTGAGGAGGTTAGGCTGAGAGGCGGTGACTGCTCCAAGGTCACCCTGGCTTCTCTCTCTATAATCTTATCTTCACATTTTTCTCTTGCCCTTCCTCCCAAGTTGCTCAGGAAAGTCCAAGCGCCCCACTTTTTAAACCTCACAACAACCCTGTGAAGTAGAAGAGGCAAAGAGATAAGTGGTTCAGCCCAAGGGCACCCAGTGTGACGGTGTGATTTTAGTCAGTTAATTTACATGCCACTTTATACTTCGACTGGAATCTCTAAGCTGTTTGCAAATTGCAACAAAAAGGTATCAATATAAGAAAAGGAAAAGCCCAATACAAATCCCACATTCAAAATGCAACAAAACTGCTACTACCGTTCCAACATATTGCCACATTTTAAGTACCATAATTACACATAGCTAAACAATGTTACATAAGCAAAACGTGTAGGAGCCGCAAGGAAACAGAGATCCTGGGTAAAATAGCAAAACGTATCAAGATACATCAAAATGCAACATCAAATTACAGTAGAGCACATACATTTCTTAAAGAATACCCCCGAAAGACACATAATTCAGATTTCCCCCAGTCACAGTTCATTCTCTAGCACAGTGCTCCGAAATGAAGGCATGATGGAAAATTAGGGGAGGGGAGAGCCAGGATATATGTAATCCAGTACACCCCTAGTCCTCCCCACCCCCTGGTTTCAGTCTTGCTCCAGCCTCTTTGGATGGGATTCCCCCCCCCATTCTCCCCTTCCACTTATAGGAGCCAACGCCAAGGGGCCAAGGTCCCTTCTCCTCCCCTTAAAATATTAAGGGGGCCACATACCCCCCCAAGTTGATGGGCATTGCCATTCAAATGGTGTGTGTGATTACTATTGATTTTGCAGGGCACTGCTTACCCCCACCCAATATTTAATTCAAGTTGGCACCCCTGCCTTCATCATCATCATAATAATAATAATAATAATAATAATAATAATAATAATAATAATATATTATTTATACCCCGCCCATCTGGCTGGGTTTCCCCAGCCACTCTGGGCGGCTTCCAACTGAATATTAAAAACAATACAGCATCAGACATTAAAAACTTCCCTAAACGGGGCCGCCTTCAGTTGTCTTTTAAAAGTAAAATAGTTGTTTATTGCCTTGACATCTGGTGGGAGGGTGTTCCACAGGGCAGGTGCCACTACCAAGAAGGCCCTCTGGCCTGGTTCCCTGTAACCTCATTTCTTGCAGTGAGGGAACTGCCAGAAGGCCCCTGGAGCTGGACCTCAGTGTCCGGGCAGAACGATGGGGGTGGAGACGCTCCTTCAGGTATACTGGGCCGAGGCCATTTAGGGCTTTCAAGGTCAGTGCCAAGACTTTGACTTGTGCTCGGAAACATACTGGGAGCCAATGTAGGTCTTTCAAGACTGGTGTTATGTGGTCCCGGCGGCCACTCCCAGTCTCCAGTCTAGCTGCCACATTCTGGATTAGTTGTAGTTTCCGAGTCACCTTCAAAGGTAGCCCCACGTAGAGTGCATTGCAGTAGTCCAAGCCCCATTGAGCCCAGTCGGGCTTAAAAGGGGATGGGCTATAGCTCAGCAGTGGAGACCTCTTCTGCATGCAGAGAGTCCCAGGTTCATTCCCCAGTGGCAAATCCAGGTTAGAGACCTCTGGCAGAAACCACAGATAACCACTGCTGGTCACTATAGACGACATTCAGGAGGGTAGACCACTGCTCTGACTTCCTAGGTTTCTATGGGAACAGAATTGTAAAGGGACCCCAAGGGTCATCCAGTCCAGCCCCCTGCAATGCAGGAATCTCAACGGAAGCTTTCAAGACAGATGCATGACCCAACCTCTGCTTAAAAACCTGGGCTACAAAGTGGATTGAAAAGAAGACTTACCTAGGTGTTGGTCGTGGGGCTGGGATTCCTTTAATACTTCCAGAGACCAGCAGAGGTCAGTTCAGCTCCAGAGATGAGCCAGAGGAGGACCTGCTTGGGTTTTTTTTGCAAAGGGAGCAAGCACTTGGTGAGCTGGCTGAAGCCCTTTATGGATCTAGCAAAAGGCCTGCTTCATTTCAGCTCTAATCGTAACCTTCTTTACCTGGGAGTAAATCCCAGTGAGTAGACATGGTTAGGAATGCTCTGCACATGCATTTTTATTTGTTGCATCGTTCATTTCTTCCTCTGAGCCTCACTATGACCCTCCTGCTTTGGAGACAGAAGATCCTAGGTCCCCCCCCCTAAAGGCATCTACTGGTGGGGTATCCTGCCTGAAAACCTGGAGAGCTGCTGCCATTCAGTGTAGGTGACACTGAGTGAGATGGACC